TTAGGGGACTAATATCAAAAGATTAAATTTTGGGGAACTAATACAAATACTAATGATTTAAGGGACTAAAATCTTAAAAAACCAAAATATTTTATAGTTACAGATGTCCTGATATCTTTTATGCATCCCTTCATGCAAATTGTACATAGTGTTTTTATTTGAGTTACCAAATTGTATATAGTTCATCTTTTTTTTCTTAATTAGTTCTGGTTCCCATTTGCTATCCCCCCACCCCCCACACATATGTTTTCGTCAAAAATTATCGTTTTCATTATTGTCAAACTTGTTACACCATTTATCGATTACAAGTTTAAACTGAAAGAAAAGTCGATCTTTTTATAAGATTTCTTACAATAAAAAAGTAAAAATTATAACTTTATCCAACAAAACGCATCAGTAGTTTATCTCATGTTGCTTTGCGTGGGATCTTTGCCTGTGTTGGGGACGCGTTAGTCCGTGGACCGTCACGAATCAGATCCGGTTGACAAGTTTAATTATGCTCTTGTTTCACTAAGGAAACAATCACAGCAGCGACAATCACGACCAAGCGAGATTGTGGCTCTTCTCGAGATCAAAACAAGGTTTGATCAGGAGGAAAGAGGGGGAGAGAATCTCAAATCTTTCGAAGGTTTTTTTCTTTATGAAAAAGTTCGCCAAGATCTGCCAATTCTCCTCTGAAATTCGTGGTTTACTGCTCAGTTCGACAGTACCTCGCCCTCTGATTTCAGATCCTCTCCAATGAAGACCCTGTGCTTCTATTTATAGACTTTTTTTTCCTTGTTTTCTGATAAGATTAAGTATTTTGACATCATCTGTAATTGATAACCGCTCAACCGCACTTAGTGATAGCTTCAAAACAGTTGGGGAGGTCCTGGAATGAAAGAATCCTTAAAAAACATCAAAACCAGCATTTTGGGAAGTTTTGGGAGCGGATTACCACCTGGTGGTTCGGAGCTGTGCGAGCCACCAAATGGTGGCTTGCAACCTTGCGAGCCAGTTTGTACCACCTCGTGTATTTTAGATCTAACTCTCTCGTTCGATCTCGGAATGAGTTGATTTAAGATGCGTTGGAAAGCTGACGAAAAGACCTACAACTTTTATCTTTTGAGTTTCTTCAGAAATAAATTATATCATGGATAAAATATCACTTCTTTATGAGAGCCACCAAATGATGGCTCACCATTTGGTGGCTCGCAGCCTTGCGAGCCAGTTCGTACCACCTTAGGTATTTTGGCTCTAACTCTCTCATCTGATCTCAGAATAAGGTGATTCAAGATGCATTGAAAATCGAACGAAAAGACATATAACTTATATATTTTGAGTTTTTTCAGAATCAAATTGTATCATGGTTAAAATGTCACTTCTTTATGTGAGCCACCAAATGGTGGCTCGCAGCGTTACGAGCCAGTTCGTATCACCTCGGGTATTTTGGCTCTAACTCTCTCGTCTGATCTTGGAATGAGGTGATTCAAGATGCGTTGGAAAGCTGACGAAAAGATCTACAACTTCCAATGGATGAGCCACACATGGTGTTTCACCTATTTTGGGTGAAACACAATTTCTAGCTGAGTTGTTTTCCATTTCACATGTCACGTTGACACGTACACTTCACCGATTCACTTCATACATTTCGTTAACTTAGAGGTGGCCGGTTAATACACAGGCCACTTGGTTTTTCATTTTAATGCTTGTTGCTATGTTAACAATACTTCGCCGATCCGCTTTATGTGCTTGTCGATATCAGATAACCCTCATTGATTTAGATTATGACGTTCATCATCTTCTCTCCATCTCGAACTGCGTGCATGAACCTATAGGTAAATTTTGACGCCTACAACACACACACCCAACCCCCAAAAAAACCCAAAGTCCCCTCGTTCTAAACTGTTAGATTTATTCGTGCAATACCCTCTATAACTATTTGTGCTCTCATCTTACCCCCAAACTATTAAATGTGTGTTTATCTCCTTAACTATATTTAGACCCATCTTATGCTCCAAACAATAGGGGTGCTAAATCGTATCCGTATCTGAGGAAATATCTGTAGTCGTATCCGTTAGGATACGAATATAGTTACTCAAATCTATAACTGATAGGATATGGTTATGGATATGGTTTTGTAGTAAAATATATGTATTCGTATCCGAATACATATTAGTCATCCTCTTACGATAGTTTTAATTCTTAGATTATGGATTTGTGGTTAATTTTGATGGATCAAGATGTTTTCAATTATGATAAACATATTAACGAACTCTTTTGTATCACACAAACTATATTTTCCTCAATACTATCTAGTTTTCTCATATCCATTTTGTATCCACATGCATATCGCTTATATATTCGCGTGTTTATCCGTAACTATATCTGATTTAGCGGATATGGAAAATCGGGGTATATTCATATCTGCATCCATATCCGAGATGTGTAAGTGGATATGGATATGATAAGCATTATATCCTAGCCGTATCCGAACAGAATGCACCCCTACCAAACAATCACTTTCAATATCTAACTATAAAAATTTTATTTATTATTTTATGAGTATTATGAATATATTTGTTAGAAGAAAGTGATAGTTCAAGAGGTAAGATAACATTGAAACAGTTAAGGGGTAGACAAGAATGAAATTAATAGTTCAGGAGGTAAAATTGAAGTAAAAATGGTTCAGGGAAGTCTATTGACCAAATAATGACCGGAGCCTTTTTAATTAGTTGCTGACACCGTGTTTAGTTCCATGTTTGATTCATCATAATTGTTGATATTATTGTATGTGTTAGTAATGTGTTTAGTCTCACATTGGTTATGAGAGCACACCTCACCCTCTTCTACTTGTATTCCAAAAGCACAGTCGTCACGAGAGCCTCCGGCCCCCCTTCCTCCGGCGCCACCCCCTTTCCTCCTGCGCGATCCCCAAAAGCACAGTCGTCACGAGAGCCTCCGGCCCCCCTTCCTCCGGCCCCCTTCCTCCGGCGCTACCCCCTTTCCTCCTGCGCGAACCCCAAAAGCGTAATCGTCACGAGAGCCTCCGGCCCCCATCTCTCTGTGCTGCCGCGAGTTCCATCTGTACCGCCGAGAGTTCTCTGTCAGGTAACATTTCAAAAAAATCCCTCTTGATCCCTCTCTCGATCCATCTTAATTAAGAAAAAATCAACAAAAATAAACATAAAAAGGCTTGTTTACATCTATTTCTTACACTGTGTAAGATTTGTTTGTATGTCTGTGTAAGATCTGTTTGTAGGGATTTAAAGTGATTTTTGGTGATGTACTAATTTAAGTATGGATTTTAAGTAATTGAGGATGTTGATTTATTAGTTTTTACGGGAGCTTTATGAAAAAACATAGCATGGTGTCGAAGATTGGGATACAGAACATAGAAGTTTCTATGATTGCCAATTTTTGCTAACTTAGCAATTTTTTTACCTCCAAAATGATTATATAACAGTCCTCGGTGCTTGAACAATCCATCTTGGCCTAGTAAATCCAGGTTAATGCTTTAACAGTCATAGGGATTTTATGTTTTCAAAATGATTTACAAAACAAAATATCCAGGTTATTTTTTTGTACGAGGGGTAGAGGGTTTACTGTTTCTTGTGGATGGCGTAACTAGTAAAATATCATAACTTCCAATGCATGTTTCTGTTGTAATTCTAGTTAAACTTGTGTAATGTATCTCACTAGCCATGTAATCTCTCTTGAAAATGGTAAATATGCAGATTTTTGCCTCTTCTATTCCGCTTGGGGATTTAGTAGGGTATCAGTATCTTAGTCAACTATTCCCCATTATGTTTGATGGTTTCAAATTGTGATCGTCGTTATTGCTTGATGGTATCTTTTGTATCTGTAGCCATGGATCATGGAGTCATCTTCAAGCAATCATCACGGACTGTTGTGCCATTGTGGAAGGAGGGCTATACTCTCCAGATCTGGAACTAAGACGAACCCCGGTCGATTGTTTTTGGGATGCGCTAATTGGAAAGTGAGTAATTGTGGATTCTTCAAATAGGTATCTGATGAAGAGGAGTTTAAAGGTTCAAAGGAAGAGCTTGTTCAGACCAAGCAGTCGAGCGTGACGCCACAAGTTTCAAGCGCCGTGTCAAGTGGAGAAGTGCGGGAAAAGAGAAAGATTGAGATTGATATTTTGGATTTGTTGAAGCTTGTTATATTTGCTCTTTTATTTGGTATTTTTCTAGGATTTGTATTTGGTATTTTATTGGATTTGTGCTAAGTAGGGTGTAAGAATGTATTATTAGATTTGTTGAAGTGTATGTTCTCTACATGTTCTTACATTATTGGTAGTATAGTCAAACAAATTCACGTGTTCTGGATTTAGCTTGTTGATGAGATCTTGAGATGCCCCATCTAGCTGATAAAAAGAAAAGGAGTAGTTGATGAGATCTGAAATTAGCTTGTTGAAGCTTCATGTATTGCATAGTTAAGTTTCCGATGCACAAACTGATTTTCTTGTGCCATTCCTAGTAGTGTTTAGTTGTCGCATTGCTCAAGTTTCCGATGCTGTTACAATTTTCATGTATTGCATAGTTAAGCTTCATGTATTGGTAGTGTCCAGATTTGCAGCAAAAGAACCTTCTTGATGTGTAGCAGAAATTACTGCTCTTGAGAATGTGAAATTTATGTGAGCTCGATTGTTCGTGATCTTTTGATTGAGTCCTTGACTTATGGGAAAAACAGGATTTGCATGTAATGCATGAAACAAATGTGACAGCGATCAGAATAAGATCAATTCCCATGCTCCCAATAACCCATGCATAAGGAAATTTTCTAGAATGATTATCTGGGTTCTCTGCAATGTGAAACCACACAATGTGACAACACCAGAAAACACACAATGTGAAACCACACTAATCAACTTCTGCACATCATCGCTCCTGTTGCACAATATTCATGCATAAAATGTAGTTCCAGGCATTCTTAGTGTCATTTTCTTGTTTCAAAACAAAAATAGTTATAACAAAAGATATTAGAGATACATTCAGACTTCATGCATTGAACCCCAATTGCAGAATAAACTCAAAACCATATATGTTTCTATTGAGGCACACCTGACAACTCAAAACAATAGTACATTTCCAGTCTACATTTCCAAGTAGCTTCCATTACAGAATAAACTTAAAACCATTTCCAGTCTACATTTCCAAGTAGCTACCATTACAGAATAAACTCAAAACAATAGTACATTTCCAGTCTTCAAATCCAGTCTACATTTCCAAGTAGCTTCCCATTTCTGCATAGAAACTTCATGCAATAGTGAGAACTTCATCTGTATTAAAAAAATTAAAAAACATGTTATATTAAAAAAATGGCAATGTACAAGTTATTTCGTATGTATTAACCATTACCTTCCACAAATCCATGCATGTGGTGCTCAAGAATTCAGACCAATTTTCGTTTAGCTGCAAATCACATGACAAATTAATCATATAATTGTACTAAATGCAAAATTTATGTGTTATGAACTTTCATGGAAAAATATTAATTGTACCTTGGCAAATTGAATTTACAACTAGTTCTATAATGCCCGAGTTCACCACATCTGCTACTATATGTTTCATCCTTTCTTTCTTTTCTTGTGCTTGTTCTAAACTTGATTGGATTCTAGTTGCATTGCGTGGACGACCTTTAGTCCTTGCAGCTCTATCAGGATCATGAACTGTAATCTGAGGAATGTGCTCCATTATATGTGAGATGTGTGCGGAAATTTGTGGAGTATCCACCATTTGATCGTGATTTGAGGAATGTGCTCCAATTCTTCTTGCAGTGGTTCTATAAATTTTGTTAGCACATCATCTAGATTTTGCATCTTCTCTTCTGAAGCAAATGCAAGCTCGAGCGCATTATTGAATTTTGCTCTTAAAGCCTAAGATTTCAATAAGTTAATCTTCTCTTCACAGCTTGTGATGTTTCTTCCATATATAATGTTGCCAACCCCAATCAGCTTGTGATGTTTCTTCCATATATAATGTTGCCAACCCCAATGTTACGATGTCGAGCATGTATAGTCTAACGGTATAGGATGTAATGGTTGGGTAATGAATCCATTTGCCTAGCCATCATTAGCGATAATATATGTCTACATACAACACCATTAGTTTCAAACAAAACACAAGTGCAACGGAACTGCATCTGACTAGATTGTTCATAAATAACCACCTCCCATTTTCCTCTATCTGTAAACTTACAGACCTTGTATTCAACAATGTCCCCATCTTTTCTCAATTCTTCACAAAACTCTGTACCAAATCCTTTGAATTTAGTTTGGAACACATCAAACATATTGCGTGTATACATTTCTCCACCTTGGACCTCAATTGGATGTCCAAGGAGCATGACAGGCTTTGTGTTAAGACTCTTAAAATCTTCATGGGCTTCACTTAAGCGACAATGAGAAACTGCTTTTTCATATTGTGTCACAAACTCGTGTAATTGAGTCTGTGAGTTAACATACCCATCAAAAAATGCATTAATACTTTCACTCCTTTGGCTCAATCTCATTCCAGCAAAAAAAGTGTCCTTCAGATAACACGACACCTAGTGTTCTCGGCATTTGTAAACTGTTTGCAACCATCCCTCCCCTTCTTCATTTATATCAAACTTCTCTTTCATCTCAACCCAATATCCTTCACATTGTTCAATTGAAGAACTATTGCACCACAAGCCCCAATACCTTTGAAACTGTTCACCATAACGAGATACCAAAGTAGGCAAATGATCAATAATATGCTTTTGCATGTGCCAATAGCAATAACTGTGTCTTGTCGTTGGAAACACTGAGTGAATAACATTACACATTGCTCTATCCTGATCTGTTATAATAGCACCTGGTTCAATGTCATGCATGCATTTCAGCCATTCTTCAAATAACCAAACAAAGGTATCTTCCTGTTCATCGGCTAATAATGCACAACCAAGTAAAGTGGACTGCCTATGTTGAGAAGACTGAACTTATTAGTTCTGTATGTCACATCAAACACAATAACATCACTGAATTTCAAATAAGATGCTCTTGATCTTCCATCGGCCCAGAAAACACTCCTCATTTGTCCACTACTGTCTACTTCTATTGCAAAATAAAATTCTGGATCATTCGTTGTCGCACTCTGAAAATGTAGAATGATAGATATGCATTCATGACCAATATTGTTGACTCTTTAGGTTCTGATATGATCAATGCATTGTTGTGATGTCACTAATTCACCTTCTCTTCCATTAGTTGCATTGATGACACGAGAAATAGTGGAAGGAGGCATACCTTCTTCTCGCAGACTATCAATAAGTTTTTTACATCTTTGAGTTTTATGGAATTGTTGATGTGATCTGTGCATTTTTGCTTTGTCTGGACTACTCAACACATGATTTGTATGTTCTTCAATAAACCCCGTGACCGTCCACGATTTGTCCTCCAATAATTTAATTCGCATCATTGCCTTACATCCCACTCGGGTCTCTCGCCGAACTAGATTTTCTATCTTGTCTCTTTTAGGTCTATAGCCCTCCTTATCACAAACAAACTTCCTGTCTACCACTTCTCTAGTCTTGCACGAGTACTTTACCGTGCTCTTCCTTATTCCAAAACCCATCAACAATGCATAAGAGTTATAATAGTTATAACCTTCTTCATAACTATTAAACTTCATTCCTAGTAGTGGTTTAGGAGCATTTACAGTATTGTCCGCAATTTCACTTCCAATAGCACTTGATTCTCCTATTCCGAACTCTACACTAGTTGAATTTGTTTCCTCCATTCCAAAAAATAACCAAACCTAATACAACAAAGAAGATTGAATTACAACCAGAAAAAATATTACAGATTGAAACAATATTCTCATTTTCATAAAGCTCCAATAAAAACTAATAAATCAACAACAATTAAAACCAATGATATTGAAAGAAGTTAAAGACCAAAAAAGAGAGCCCATGTATTCTTTGTTATTTACAAACTTGATTGACCTAGCTGTATAAATTTTTACTCTGGCAGCTCATGTACAGTTAATGTTATAACAGTTATAACATATGAAAGTGTTGTAGGATGCATGCTTTAATTCAATATGCTGGCAGCTCATTAACTCTAAATTTAGTACATAACACTAAATTTAGTATTAACCTCAACTGTTATAACACTAAATTAATAGAGTGGATATTAACCTCAACTGTTATAAATCTGGTAGCTCATTAACACTAAATTAAGTTTACAGTCAACATTCCTTTACCTCCCACTATAAATCTAACTTAATTGAAAAAAATAAAAAGAAAGAAAAGAACAAGGAATCAAACAACAAAGTCTACAAGCACACAGATAAACCCAACAGAAACTCCTAACCTCAAGATGAAATTTTAAAAATAGTAAACAAAGTCTACAAGCACACAGATAACCAGTTTAATCACCGTCCTCCTCTATTTTTGTTGATTTTTTCTTAATTTACTAGGTCAATCGAGAGAGGGATCAAGAGGGATAAGATAAAATTTTACCTGACAGGGAAATCGGGGCTGGGGTTGGCGGCTCGATCTCGCGGGGGTTCAACTTTGGGAGGAGGATGGGGGAGGGGAGATCTCACGGCAGCTTGGTCGGCTCGAGAGAGGGATCAAGATGGAACTCGCGGCGGCTTGGTCGGCTCGATCTTGCGGTCGGTCACGAACTAGATCTCTTAGCGGTTGTTGATTTGGGAAGGAGGACGGGGGGAGGTGTCGCGGTAGAAGAGATGAGAAGGAGAGAAAAGAGATGGATGCTGGTCCTGATTAGAGAGGGTGAGGGTTTTGGAGAGAGGCGGTGAGGGTTCCAAGATCAGTCTCTGGGGAGTTGGGGACGCTAAGAGAGAGATAGGAAGGGTCAGCGGGCATTAATTGGCTGAGGACTTTTGCAAAAAACGCCGCCCCTGCAGCTCAAACCAAAGCGCGAAAAGCTGCCAGTCTCCTATGAGTTTCTCCATAATATAAGTATATATATACTATATATATATATATATATTATATATATATATATATATATATAATAATATATATATATATATATATATATATTATATATATTATATTATATATATATATAAGTAATATAGAACACATTCAATACTTAATCTTAGAAAAATTTACCCCAAGACTCTCTCTTCTTTAGCATGGTATCAAAGTTAGAATAATAGTTTGCCAAATATTAGCCTCGCCGTATGATAATCACATTTTATTATAATTTTATACCCTCATTCTCTATTTTATATGAATAAATATACCACTAAAAATTTTTGTTATCTTTAATTGCATGTTAATGAAGAATAAAGCCTTGGATCTCTTCTTTCATCAAAGCCCATAAATATTAACGAAGAAAACAAGCATCAAGCCCAAAAGCCCAAAAGCCAAAAGCCCAAGCCAAAGAAAAATTCAGCCAGAAATTTGACAGGGTATCGATGCAAGCATTTATATGCTGACGAGACATTTATAATCAAATAGCTAAAATTTGATTGTTTTGGATAAGGATTCAATCCAATAACTCTCATTCATTGATGTTTACTATAAAAAGGGATAGAGAGTGAGGGGTTGAGGGAGTGAAAAATTTTATAACTCTATTTGGAGAGGAGGATTACTCTCAATTGAGAAGACCTTCCAATTTTGCAACTTTTGTTACAATCAATAAAAGAATTTTTTCACTTTTTTAAATTTTCTTCTCTTTGTTAGATGATGATGATGGAGATGAAGATCAATTTGAAGGTTTGTTTTTATTTTATTGTTAATTTTCTTTTTTATTTCTTATTTCTTTCTAGTAATCTTTCTTATTGCTTATTAGTTTAGATTTACATTCATGTCTTGTAGAGTAGATTTATTTTCTTGTCTTTATTTTATTTTGCATTTTAATTTGTAAAGTAGATTTAATTTCTTGCATTTTTATTTCTTTTACAATGTAGTTAGATTAATTTCTTGTTCATAGTGTAGATTTTCTTATTCTCATTTCTTTTATTTTGTAATTATTTCTTTTTGTTTTATTTCTATCCTTTATTTTCTTAAGATGTGAAATTAATTTTTATAGGAATCTTAGAATTGTATGAAACTAGTCTAATTTTATTTATATTATGCAAATTATTCTCTTGCGCTTAAAATGATCATGTTTAGGATAATCAACTAGAGAACTAATTGGTAGAAGAAGAATTTGATAATCTATGCTTATCTTAAGTGGTTTGATAGGTTATACTTATGAATTCTAAAATTACTATCTTGTTGTTATTCTTATCATGAATTTTAATTTAACTTAGATGATAATTTTATAGGTTATACTTTCCTTAAATGGTTTGATAGTCTATGCTTAATAAATCTAAAGTGAAATGTGATAAAATAAGAATAGTTTGTATTTTGTAATTGAGATTATCTAGTGGATTCAATTCTAGATTTCTCATATCTTTAATTGAATCCTCCATCTTTTATTTTTCTTGATTTTTTCCTTTAACTCTTGATTTTTCTCTTATTGGTTTCTTGATTTTTATTTTTCTTTCTTTTTTGATTGCATTTATTCTTTCATTACATCCACTTTTCATTTCTCTCATCTCAAATTATTGACATTTGTATATATTCACAATTACTCATCATATCTCCCTACAATCACATTTATCATCACTCATAATTGTCACGCACACAACATACGAACCGATTCTAATGATTTCCTACAAACACCTTCCTCGCGGGATCGATAACTTTTTATACTATAACTTGATTAATTGTACACTTGTAATTTTTGGTATATGTTTATGCCACATCACCGCATTGTGACCTCTTCATTATTGCCTCCGTGCTTGCCGCATTGTGGCCTCTGTGACAGCCGTCTCTCAGCCTCACACGAACATAATTGCCATTTCACATATAGTAATGGCATCACCATTTCAAGACCGTATCTCAGTCTCAAACTAACGGTCATTTCAAGACTGTCTCTCGGTCTCAAAATGTAGGTTGTCTAAAAATTACTGCAGATAGCTAATCCTCATCAAACACTAATGATGAAAGTTACAATTTGACGACTTTCGCATCACCAATCCAATAATGAAAGTTACAATTAGACAACTTTCATGTTAACAGATGAAGGTTACAATTAGATGATTTTCATGTAGATCGAGAAAGGTTATAATATGATAACCTTTACGATAACCGATAAAACCTCTGATCAACAACCTTCACAAATAACAATAAGAGTTACAATTGATGACTCTTACCGTTCAAAGAGCCAATACAAAGATTACAAGATGACAATCTTAACAACGTTCTAATAGAAGAGAGTACAAGTTGATGATCTCTTCAAAGCAAAACGAGGAGCTCGTGACCGCTTTCCAGACACAAGACGCAGAGTTCATTCCTACGTCTCAAGCACAAGACGCAGAGCTCATCACCGCGTCTCAAGCCCAAAACGCAGAACTCACTTCTACATTCCAAGTTCAAGACACAGAGGTCGTTTCCAGAATGCGAATTTCGTGTTTGATTGGTTCAAACAGAACCTGAACGGTTTCAAACCCATTTCTCCACTTAAGGGAGGCGGTTATACCTTATTATGGAGAGATTTATGGGGGGATGGTTACACCCTATTAAGCCCCCATTGAGGAGTGATTTAAGGGGGGCGGTTACATCCCTTAAACCTTATAAATAGGGTTGGATTCTCTGGGAGCGGAAAAAGGGCTTTTGGAGGGAGCTTCGGTGAGATCTTTTTGGGCGATTAAAGATCAGGATCTTTTGGCAATTCAAGACCAGTGATCTTCGGCATTCATCTAAAGTTCGGTTTTGTTGAAGACTTCAGATCCTTGGAGCTTTGGAGCTTTCTTCCTTGGCTTGAAAACCGATTTCAGTTAAATCTTAATTAACTTTTCATAGAGTTTTAAACTCGTTATGAGTTCCAAAACTCGTAAGAGTTATAAACTTACCTTGCAAGTTCTCCTCAACATCTAATCAAGAGGATTCAACCGTGTTCCATGAGTTTAAGCGTTCGAATCGTCAATAGGATACAAGAATCTAAACTCCCATCGGCACCAAGAAGAACCCAGGTTAAACAAAAGGAAGGGTCTCCGTCGATCCCTTCTCTATTTTGTAACTCGAGAAACCGATTGAGAAGATTGTAATTTTTTTTCTAAGCTAGTTACAGAGAGATTATATTGAGAGAGTTGTAAGTCATTCTTTTTCTAGGTCTGTTAGAGAGAATAATACAATTTTTAATTCTTAATTTTCTTCTTCAATTTTTCACAAACAAAAAATAGTGTCTTCGCTGGGGACTAGCTTCACTGATGAAGAAGTGATGGAGCAATCTGACTTCAACCTCGCTGGAACCACGGTCGAAACTCTTGTTGTGGAGTTTGATCAAGCCAAGTATGAAGAGTTACTCTCCTCCAGATCCCTTAGTCCCAAGGCTATGCGCAAGATCCGCAAAGTTTCCAAGGAGACTAAAGCTCCAATTGTGGCCAACTCACCAAAGGAGGATCTCTCCTATGGGCTAGATTGTTCGGACAGCCCCTCCTCTGAAGGAGAAGGCTCAGCTTCAATTGAACTCGTCACTCGAGTTGATGGCCCTATACACGTGCCTAAACAGCGGACATCGAGTTGTTGGCCTCTTTGTTTTGATGATGTTTAACAAAAAATTTATATCTAATATTGTTTGTCTAGTGTTTGTGTTTTGTATTCATTATAGACAAACAATATGTTGGAGGATAGATGGAATCAAGCTTTTACGATCATATCCAATGAAGGTTGGCGGAATAGTGGAGTGAAGCAGTGCATTTCAGTTGAAGAT